AATTCCCCAAAACAAAACCAATTTCACTGATTATGTCTGACACCACCGGGCGTTAAGCATTGTCATGTTCGGACTCTCAACATCAGATTGTCATAAGTCAGTCAACATCAGTCAGTCCACATCAGTCAGTCAACATCAGTCAGTCAACATCAGTCAGTCAATGTCAGTCAGTATCAGTTCATCAACATCAGTCAGTCAACATCAGTCAGTCAACATTAGTCAGTTAATATCAGTCAGTCAACATCAGTCAGTTAATATCAGTCAGTCAGTATTAGTCCGTCAACATCAGTCAGTCAACATTAGTCAGTTAATATCAGTCAGTCAACATCAGTCAGTCAACATTAGTCAGTTAATATCAGTCAGTTAATATCAGTCAGTCAACATCAGTCAGTCAACATTAGTCAGTTAATATCAGTCAGTCAATGTCAGTCAGTCAACATCAGTCAGTCAACATCAGTCGGTCAATGTCAGTCAGTCAGTATCAGTCCGTCAACATCAGTCAGTCAACATCGGTCAGTCAACATTAGTCAGTCAATGTCAGTCAGTCAACATCAGTCAGTCAACATTAGTCCGTTAATATCAGTCAGTCAACATCAGTCAGTCAACATCAGTCAGTCAACATTAGTCAGTTAATGTCAGTCAGTCAGTTAGGGGCCGTTTACATGGCGCATATTTTGAGAGCATCCGCAGCTTTCTCTCTGCGGTTCTGCTGATCATTTACACAACACCAGTGGCCCCCCCCCCTCTTTGAATCCGGAGGTTTCTGAACCCACCTTCCAGAGTGGAGGTTTTTTGCTGACCCCCCGCTGATAATGTAAACATCTCCTGCTGAGACTTTGTGTTAAACCACATGCGCACGCGCGGACAGACGCTATATTTCTATCAACATGGCGGCGGACAGTGCTTTCAGAACCTCGACTGAATATATTTTAATCTCGTAGTTAATCTACATCAGATTCCAGATGCTGTGACCGACATCTGTGTTGGAAGAGACACAGTCTGATCCAGTTCTAATGTCGCTGTTTATAGAACGTGGCACGCGCACACGTCGCGCTGCATTATATGTGCTAAATAATAACAGTTTAATAATAATAAACAGTATTTATGTTAGTGTGAGAGATAATGAAGCTCTGAGCTAAATGAAGCTATCTGGACATTATGTAATTCAAATTTAAAATGATGCTAAACATGTAGCGTGAACACTAAAGTTGAAAATCAAGACATCAGGTTTAATTTTTATTTATTTATTCAACACCACAAACTGTATGTCACACAAACACTGATAATTAAACTGAACACACTATTAAAAACGTTAACTGAACTTGAATGGATTGAATAAAAGAACTGAGGGGAATTTTAAACAAATAGTTCATCAACATCTCTCTTCAACGTCCTCCTGCAGTTCATCTGGGCCTCGTTCAGAACCGATCCGCCTGGTGGGAGGACAGCTCCTTCTTCTTTCAGGAAAAATAAAAACTCAGTTGGTTGTTTTGTAACCGAAGTAAACACAAGCTAACTTTATTAAGAACATTTGATTTACCTGCTGTAAAACAACTACTGATTCTCACGGAGTAAAGTCCGACATCGTCGACTCGGTTCTGGTCCACTCAGCGACCAGTGTCGAGCTGTTAGACGAAGCGGTCCCGCTTGGTGTCAAATCTGCCGACTCTTATCCAAAATCCAGCCAGAATCCAGCTTTAACTTGTTGTTACGTTGTTGTTAGCTAAGCTTTTTAGCTCACAGGAAAGAAGTGTGCCGAGGCAGCACACATGCGCATTAGGTGAAGGTACAAAATTCACAGCACCATCTAATGACCTGGCATGGTAACTACAGCATATTCGGGAGGGCGGGGGGGAATCCTCCGGATGCATGTAAAGACAAAATGCGACCGTGTCAACGCAAATCTTTTCCTCTAATTAACATACAAAAAAACCTACATTTCCCCCCATCGTGTCCATGTAGTGCCATCCACCTGTGACTGAGCGCTTTGAGTCCGAACATTATTTTAAGTTGAATGCATCATTTTCTGACATCAGGCAGCAGAATCCATGCCTTCAAACAGGTGGTAACTTCCTGGCTGCACCACACTAATGTTCAGAGGAAACAACCCCCCCCCCCCCCCCCCCGGGCGCGGTGATCGGAGGGAGTCTTCTGCACACTGTAAACGTACAGGAACGGAACGTGCACGCCGTTCAGGATTGTCTCATGCCTAACAGTTGTGTGTTCTGTGTGGCAGGTGAAGCATCTGGTCTTGTCAGTGCTGAAGCAGTTTGGCAGGATAGACTTCCTGGTGAACAACGGAGGGGGTCAGTTCAGCAGCCCCGCAGAGAACATCTCCTCCAAAGGCTGGAAGGCTGTGGTCGACACCA